CTTAATCCTAATTATCCAATCGAATTTTGTACTGTGCCTTACGACAAGCGCCGGTGACGCTCGACATGTGCGTTTAGATTGATCGTCGACTGGCTCGGGCCGAGATCCTGGCAAACATAACACTGGAACGTCGATTTTAACGCTGGCTCTATAAAATATATCGAATCTCAACTCGAAATTAATTTCGAACTTTAAAAATAATATTTAAAAATATCTTCGCGCCAGTATCTCGGTCCGGGGCCCGCGAATATTCCCGAGTCACGTCGTGTTAGAAATATACACAATGTACAATGATGCACGGACGTCGAAAAAATATTTGTTCCACGAAGATGGTTCGTCCGTGGAGGGAGGAGGGCGTAACGTTGGTTTCCGCGGGTCGTTTTACGTGCTGAGAACGTAGATACTGCATTCCTTGTGAACTCTTTTGATGTGTCTGCATATGTTGGCCTTCCACTTGCCGCGATATTCGCAGTGGGGGCACTTGAAACGCGGCTCTTTGCCGCACTCGTTGCGCAAATGTCTCTTCAACGTGCACTTCCAGACGAAAACGCTCGGGCAGTTCGGACACGGGAACTTCTTGTAGGAAAGGTCGTTGAAGCGTACCCGGGGTTTCCTGTAGCGAGCGTTCGTAAAATAGAGAGGATCTGAAAACAAAACGAAGCACCCCGGTATATTATCTCGATCTGTGCAAGTCCGCGATAGTACCTGGCTTCCGCTCGGACTTTCAACGTTTCGGGTGTCTTTCTGTCGCAACGCACAGACGGGGGAAAAACGGTCGAACGTCCGGAAGACACATTCCGGAACACGTGTCCTTTCTATCTCCATTCTCCATCCTCGCGGCGTCCGATCGCGACAGCACCGGAAGCTTTAAGAGGCTTCTAGACGATGTCACGTCCATCGTGTAAAGGCCTCTTAACAACGAAAGACGGACACGCATCACCAAGTTTGTTAGTTCGAAGCATGGAGGGGCTCGATAGCTCGACATCGTCGTAAAACTTACTCTTCTCACAGGCACAGCCTCGAACACGATCTTCACCAGACTCGATAGATCTACGTCTACGTGCAAAACAAAGTTCTAGCCACCTATGGGTCTACAACTCGTAATCGCGATTATAATGCACATAGGTAAGTCCGTCGAGTCTCGTTAAAATCGGCGAGGATGGACCTGGAGCATCTCCTGTCGACTCCTCCCGAGAAACCGGTCGATAGAAAGGACAGTAAACACAAGAGTAAAAGCGACAACGCGAGTTTCCTAAGTAATCTCGCGCGAGAAAAAACAATCACGATTTGCGAAGACAATTTTAGGATACCATTTATTACACACTCATGCTATATAATTAGATGGAATTGCAACGGATACATAGTCGCTAGCTCCCAGCGTAAAGCGTACATTCGCGTGTCTATTTTCGCAAAAGCTCCTGGAACCTCCGAGCGCGTACGTTTACATAATTCGTAAATTGGCGCGTATCACAGAACGTTGTCTTCTCATCCGGGACTAGATACTTGCAGGAACCAGATACACGGAGGTCAGGGTACAGGGAACTCGAATTACCCTATCCCAGATAACCAACTTGTACATGCTGTCGTCAAGCAACGATCAAACTCTCCAATCACCGGTGGGGGGAAAGCGTCGCGCGAAGCAGTATATTTTGTAGTGTTCAATATATCGTAGGCAGAGTTGTCTCTCGAAAATTGATCAAGCGTGGAGGACACGTTGACTGCCCTGCTGGTGTTTCTCAATTTCTGAACTGCTCCATCGAGTATTTCTTGGGCCGTGATTCGAAAACCGCGGCAGTCAACGTGTTAAAAATCACTTATTCCCTGAAAGGGCAATGAATAAATACTTTCTCCTGAGAGGAATGCGTCGAGTAACCTATCCGTGTGTACGCTGTTTTCGAACAAACTTGTCCATACTACCACAAACGCAACGTTTATTCGACGCAGAATTATAATACAATCTCGATACAAGTTACGCGGAACTTTTATCATCCAAAGATGCCTTTGCGTGTCTGCGTTGATACGGACAGTCTTTTCAAAACCAGTGTACGCTGAGCAAACATTGAATCCAACTTGCAGTCCAACTTGGATAAGAACATTTTATCGAACACCAGTTCCCATCTGGCCAGAGTCTTTCTATCTGTCGCGTATGCGCGGCGAGGAATGATTAGGTTCACTTGGGCTTATTGAGGCACTGTCTGACGACGTCCATGGCTAGAACTTCGCGCTTCTTGTGCGTGGTTCGAACGTGTCTGTAGACGTTGCTGCGAAGTTTGCAGCGATATCGACAGTAAGGGCACTTGAATCGTGGACTCTGCCCGCAGGCATAGAGCAGGTGTCTGCTGAGGCTATTCTTCCTCTTAAAGATGCGAGTGCACGTCGGACAGGGATGATAACCGGCGAAAATGCCGCTCGGGAGGACTTGATCCGTCGCGTCGCTCTTGCGTCCTGCAAACGACAAAAACAGATTGGCCACGGTTAGTAGCGTGTCCGGAAGTTGCCCGAGGAAGAACGTGCAAACACTTTTCTCGACGATGCGCGTTACCTGAAAAAAAAAAACAGAACAGCTCCGGCTATCGAAAAGTCTGAATAAAACAACAAACGTGTGGCTGGAATTCTTTATTCGCAGGAGAAACTAAAGATCGTTTTCCTGTATCGTTCGCCACCCCCGCGTAGAAAATACAATATCCGGTTTCGTCAACGACGTGTCACGGGGCATTTTATTCAACTCTTACAGGTGTCGATGTACATTGTGCGCACGATGGATCCCTGGTGCTTGTTTCTCACGTGTCTGTAAACGTCCGAGGTTCTCCTCGACCGGTACTCGCAGCACGGGCACTTGAAACGCGGCTCCTGGCAGCACTGGTACCGCAAATGCCTTTTCATGCTGTAGTTATGGCTGAAAGAGCTGCCGCAGTTGTTAGGACAGAGATACTTCTTGGCGGAAACCGCGAACAACTCTGAATTGCTGACCGTGAAACCCCCGTAGGGCGAATCGACGCCTGGAAAATAAGAAGAACGTTCTGGTCAAACAACTACAAACCGATCCCAAACCTAGCGACGGCGTCACGGTCCTTGGCGAGTTAAAACATTTAGAAAATTATAAGAAACGCGCGACGAGCAATGTACAACGGAAACGGAAGGTTGGAAATGAAAGAGCTGTAGTTTCCGTAAGACGTGTATTTAAAAGATCGACGAAGAGACGACGCACACAGGTGATCGCAACCTCCAGCAAAGAAACGAAATTAATCAGGGGGGAGGGGGATTTAAGAAAGACGAGTGCAACGATCAGAGAAGTCAGGGGACAGGGGATGCAGAGGGGCTGACATTTTTATTGAGATTCTGTGTACAAGGAAACGCGTTTTTAATTTCCACCAATGTCGATGCAGCATACGTCGCTGCCCTGATGCCTTCTGCGCACGTGTCTGTATACGTCCGACCTCCATCTCGAGCGAAATTCGCAAAACGGACATTTGAAGCGAGGACTTTGTTGGCACTCGTAACGCAGATGCCTGGTTAGAGAACCACGATGGGTAAACGAGCTTCCGCAGGCGTTCGAGCAGCTGAACCTTTTATTTGCGGCGGAGAACCGTTGGGCGGTCGGATCGCGCTGACTTCCGGGAACGCGAGCGATACACGCGACGACGCCTGCAAAAGAAGATCAACTACTGAACGTAAAACAAACATCGTCGTGAAACGAAAGCAGTTCGTGTAATCGTACGCAAAGAAACGATACGTTCGAAGGGGAACGAAGGGTGGTTTATGGACGGGGGGGGTAGAAAAGCTGGGGACAGACTAACGGCGTGCGTCGGAATCGCTGAGATAAATGGACCACCTCTTTATTTACAGTCTTAAAATACGAGTACAATTCGTGAAAGACAACGTGTACGTGGACACCGAGTCGGTTGCAATATCGCTCGACGCTTCGAGTTATGTCCGATGCAAACTCTACTTATACACGACGAGTACGGAATGATTCTGTAAATCGAATGTGCGCCAGGAAATTTGTTCGTAGGACGCTCCGTTCTCGGGGAAAGTGATCTCGGGTCTTTGACTTTTTGAAAAATAACAAGAGAGGCTTGCAAATGATCTTCTCGGAAAAGGGAGCCACTTACGAAGAAATTTCGAAGCGCGTTTTCGTCGAGACGCTGTAATAGCCCCCCGGGGATTAAGTGCGGCCATGATGGGCGATCTTGAGGACGTCGATGGCGTAGACCTTGCAGTTCTTGTGCCTTCTTCTGACGTGCTCGTAGACGTTGGCGGACTTCTTGCACCGATAGTCGCAGTGGGGGCACTTGAACCGCGGCTCCTGTCCGCACTCGTAGGTCAGATGACGGTTCAACGAGTACTTCTGGCTGTAGGCGCAGGCACAGTTCGGGCATGGGAACTTCTTCGTCCTAAAGTTATTGACTAAGTTAGGGAGTGGCGTTTGGGACCAGAGTTTGCCGATAGTTTGGACTTGGCTGCCTCCGATACCGATGTTGAACCCGAAGACGGTGAACGGGGCTGTATCTGGAACGAAACGGGGTCTGGCTGATTGTCAGTTTTCATTGGCGGCGGTCTCGACAACGATCTACGAGTCCCACTGTTCCCCGAAAGGCGACGAAACTTACGTTTACTAATTAACCAGAGACCAAACATTGAACGAGTGATTAGGGAAAACGTGAGGGGATAAAATGACGATGTTCGAGCGTACGTTTCACCGGAGGACCTCGAGTCCACGACAGGGTAGCCATGGAACCAACACACCGTATCAAAATCATCGATACTCGATACTAAAGTATATTTTTGTATAAAACGTGCAACATCTACCATCGATACTGATTACCGATCACTTTTGTATCGAGCATCCTCGATACACAAGCGCGTCGGTCCCATCACCAACGACAGGTACAACAAATCGTCGATATTTATTTAGTATTAAAAATATTTCCCATGTTACATGCCACAGAAACGAAAGATCCTAAAACCACTTGTTTTACAAACTATTCTCGCTGCCTGGATTCATTCTTCCGGGATTCGGTGGAGGAACAGAAATTCCTCTTATCGCCGTTTATTAGCCACCCTTTGACAACCGTAGCGCGACTTTCCGTACGCGAGTGTACCGGAAAGGGAGAAGAGACATCAGCTTTCGAGACAAGCAGTCTTCTCGTCCCCGTCTACGATATCCATTGGTGTTGGCTGTCTTGTTTGCCGCGCACGTCGAGAACGTACACCCTCTGACCGGGATGCATCCTACGCACGTGCGATCTGACGTTCGAGGAGTGCCTCGTCCGGTACGAGCAGTATGGACAGTTGAATCTGGGCATCTGTCCGCACTGGAACTTGAGGTGATTGTACAGATTGTTCTTACGCGTGAACGCGTTACCGCATTTGTGACACGGATAACTTCTGTTTTGCTCCTTTCGAACGAGATCGTAGGCGCAACGGGGACCCTGAGCGTACAAAGACGGACGCATTACCGGATGATGAACACCTGCGAACAGAAAGGTCACCAAAATGACTCCTGGCGGTGATTCCGCGCGTCCGTTCACGACTTATAGCAGTTCGACGGACGGATTGACTTACAAAACGGTTAATTGTCTTTTGCCACGCGGCACGGAGATCGGTACGTGGACGCAGACCGATCCTAGAAAACACACACGGAACCCAACTCCGACATTAGCTGGACGTACAGAACACGTTAGGCGTCTCGAGAGACCGGGAGAAACATTGCGTCGTGGAGGCGTGAAGGGGAAAGCGACGTTGGAGGCCCCGAGTACAGTAGTCCCCGGATAAGTGAAACGAAATCGGTCCTGCATTTCAGTTATCCGGGTAGAGTCGGTCGACTGCCTCCCTCGTCTCGTGCTAGCGTTACGTCCACGGGCCTTAGAAAGCAAATGCAGAGCGATAGGGCACCCCCCGTTCAGGGATCGAATCTCATTCGTTAGTGGAAAAATTCTACTAATTGCGAGTCTCGGTAATCCGGAGGTTATTGTACTCGGTGCAAAGGATCAGAAAATGTGTCTTGTTATTCCTTTTTCCTTGTTTCTTTTTTGTACTTACAAGGTAAAAGCATCGTCGCACGCGGCGTAATACATAGAGTCAGCCTGTAAAAAATAATTCTGCGCCCGGGATTCGAAGTAGATGGCAAGTTACGAAGGTTTGGGGGGTCGAAACGCGGTTCGTCTTGCTTAGCAACGGTCCCTAGCATGCCGGGGGATCGATTAGGAGTGCTGTGGAACTTCGATCTTGCTCATGTCTACGACGTAGACCGCGTTCCCGGGATGCGTCCTGCGCACGTGGGCTCGCACGTCCCACGGATGCCTCGTTCTGTAGACGCAATAAGGACAATTAAATCTCGGCGACGGTCCGCACTCGTACTGCAAATGATACTCGAGGTTGCTTTTCCGGTTAAACACGCTGTGACAATTCCCGCATGGAAACTTTTGCGCGTGATGGACGTCCGTAGGCGAGAACGTCCTTCCCCTCGGCGAGTACGGCCAACAAATGTTCGCCTCCATCTGATGCGGCGCTAAGTACATCGGCTCTGAAAAAAGCACAATTCGTTCGTTCATTCCTGATGTTCGGGACATTATCGGATCGTTTAGAGCCCGTAGATTACGTGGACAATATACGAAATTGCGATATTCGCTGCATGACAATGACTTTCCGTACTCATTTCCTCTCGCTTGGGGTCCGTCGAAACGATCCTCAACGCGAGAAAGATGGCGTCCAGAAAAATTGAACGGTCTCGAACACTCCAAATCCATATATAATTGGAAATTAACATCGAAGGATATAAATGCACCCTAATTTAAATCGAAACCTCGTATTTGAGTGTCTCTGCAAAAGAATATCTTCCGGAAAAATTAGAGTAGAAAAATACGAGGCTCCAGAGAACAAAGGTGCGCCTAAATTTTCGACAGCAACTTGGAAATTTCGAGTGTCTAACACCGTTTTAATTTTGCATCGTACATCTTTGCCCGTGTCTCGAATCCTTTCGACGAACTCTGTATAACTGAGCTCAGAACGAAGGCCAGACCCTATCGATGATCACCATCGATTGTGCGACTTCTCGTCTACGAAGGATAGTACGAAACGAATACTGCGAGTGAGAGCATGCACGCAAAGCGTTTCAAAGGACGAGTTACGGGGAGATCGTTTTTATTAAATGATCGTTTCGTTATAGTTACGGGGGTGAAGTACATGGGGATGGTGTGATTACTGTTGGCCGCTCAATATATCGATCACGTAGACGTCTCTATTGGGATGTTTCCGGCGCACGTGGGCTTTAACGTTCGACGTGTGTTTGGTCCTGTAAGGACAATAGGGGCAGTTGAATCGCGGCAATTGCCCACAGGCGTACTTCAAATGATGCAGCAGATTGTAGCGCCAGTTGAACGACCCGCCGCACTTCGGGCAAATGTGTTTGACAATGTCTTGGCGATGGCGATCCGTAGTACGGCGCGGCCGATTCATTCCGTAACCGTACGTCTGTTTCAGTAGCTTCCCTGGAAAATTCAGACGTTCTTACGGTTAATTCTCACAGATCGTGCTCCCCAACGCGCTTAACTGATCAGTTCTAAGTATCGACAGTGTCGGGTGTTCGAGTTTTAAAGATATCGGCTCGATTATTGGAAAATTGCGTGTCGAAAAGGTCCTCTCGAATGCTCCGACCATTCTTTCTCGTTGCACCGTGTTCATCGAACGGGATCAGAGGATATTCGATGCACGGATCTTTTTTCGTAGTTTTCGTATTTATTGCGAGATCTTGGGTACAAATAAAATATCACTTATAACTCTTACGCGTCGAGGTTCCTTGCTATCTTATCAAAGTGCAAAAACACAGAACGTTGTTTGGTGTACGAATGTTTTCCTGCTGACGTTGCATTTTATTGATGGCAGTGTCTGAGACGGGCGTACAGCGGTATAAAAACGTTGCAGAAATACAAGATTCGAGGAGAGAAGGAACCGTCGACGATTTGGAATGGCACGATTCTTAACCATCTGCTCGTAAAGTTTATGCGAATTCACAGCTAACTTAAACGCTCGAAACGACGCGAGCAGACGGTTAAACGTTATAATATAAAATGTACAACCGGAAGACACGAAAAAACGATACCTCCGTGGTACCAAAATTTACAAAACGCTGAGACGAGGAAAGAAAATTCTCTTCGAGACATTACGCTGTGAAAGGAGCATTTCTAGGTATACGTAACGATACTCTAAGGATACAATTCGATCGACTTATCGGTACAATGTGTCCGCCGTCGCGACGTCCCATCGAATACGGGTTACAAATGGCGTTGGACGTCGATCCTCGACGGACACGCGCGCGAATCCTGGCGAACGTTCCCTAAATCCTCCGTCCGTGTGATTATCTTTCCATTTTGCAGACGTCGATGGCGTACACGCTGTTTCCGGGATGCCTTCTGCGTACGTGTGCACGCACGTTCGACACGTGCCTCGTCCTGTGGGGACAATAGGGACAGCTGAATCGCGGTAGTTGGCCGCACTCGAACTTGGAATGATAGTAGAGATTGTTCTTGTGACTGAAGACGCTGGGACAGGTGGGGCACGGGAACTTTTGCTTCTCCCCGTTACCAGGGATCCCGGTTTTTTGGTAACGACGCCTCTTCCCCATGGGGACCGTGCACAAGTAATCCCCCGACAGCGGGAACCCTGAAACAGAAACGAGACGAGAATTTCGTCAAGCAACGAAGGGTTGTTTCGCTCGAGGATTGTCGAAATTGAAAGCAGCATGCCGCCGACCTCCGACCAGCAAAATTTCGAATCGGATCGTTCGGGGGTAGGGGGAGGGATTACGTAAACAAAGACCGGGGGAAAGAAACGGGATGCGAATGATCGTGAACTCACAAACCAGCTCGAAACAGGTGGATTCAACTTCGTATATTTAAAAACAGATCCGCTCGATCTTGTCCGTTAAGTACAGAGGTTCGACGTGCACGTTCTTCGTGTTCGCGCGATCGTTGCAACTACTGTTTAACAACGCGGAGCTACAGCTGCGACGAGTCGTGGACAATATTGCACTACGTGTGAAACAGTCGATCTTCGGGCTGCGCTCGCGAATCTTGCGATCTATTCGCCGAAACTCCCGCCGCCGACGGTCCGTTTACTTCGAATTCCTGGAAAGAGAGAAAATTCGCGTTCAATCGCGGCTACTTGGAGCCTTTGCGCGTTGCGGGGAAACCGTACGCGGAGAAAAGGACGTCGAAAATTGGGGAAAATTGCATAGGTCGTGTCAGTTTTACGCCACCCTGATTTCAACGATAAAATTTATTCTTAGAAACGCTCGAACCACCTGATACAGTCATCCCTCGCTAATGTTCGCTGGGGGGAGGTGCGCTACTCTTGGAATTCATTGCGATTGAAACAACGAACGTTAACGAGGTAGCAATAGCGTCCCAACGCACGATCCTAGCATTTTTCCCCTAAAGAGCGTCGTGGTCTACCGTTCTTCGCGACGACGTCGACGCTGTCGATTCTTCCGGAGACGACAAAGACGTTTTCCTGTGACGCTGCTGCGGATCTTCCGTGTTCGTTGGCGTATCCTTCTTCGTGGACGGGACGTGGCGCGTCTTCAAGCGGGGTACTGTTGCAGCTTGCAGAGATCGACCGTGTAGACCTCGCTTCCCGGATGACACTTACGCACGTGTCTGCGCGCGTTCGAGATATGTCGCGCGCGATAGGTGCAGTACGGACAATTGAAACGCGGCTTCTGGCCGCACTCGAACTTCTGATGATAGGTCAGACCGCCTTTGCGGCTGAAGACGCTGGTGCAATTGCCGCACGGGAACTTCCGCGCTTGGGTACGCGCGTTCTCGGCGAACGACGCGATCGGGCCGCTAGTCGGCGTCACGTGTTGTTGGAGGGCAAAGTTCTGCGGGGGCGTCGTCAAACCGGCGAACACGTAGTAATTTAACCCTGTAACAGAAACAGAAACGCGACACCGCTGTCAGTGCTCCTCTCATTGGCAACCGGCGGTGATACGGAGATGCTAGAGGAACAGTTTTATGTGATCGAGGATCCGTCAAACCTTCTTCGGTTGTCGGGGGCGTCCATCGCGGCGCGAATACGCTTTTGGGATCGTCCGCGAACAGGATGAAATGAGTAATAAATGAGGCTGGTTGCTCGTGCAGTGGCAGCTGATTGCTTTATTCATCAACGAAAGTGTACCGCGAACGATTACTCGCGATCCGCGGCAAACGATATAGAGAAGAAACGAGCGTGCGAGTTAGGTTTCGAAAAAGGTCCGCGCGATCTTCGCGGGGCGTCGTGAATCTTCCACGGGCGTCCCGAACTACTCCTGCCACAAGTTGACCACGTTCACTTTGCCTCCGTTGTGTTTCCGGCCCACGTGCGCCCGTACGTTCGACGACTTCTTCGACGCGTAATCGCAATACGGGCAGCCGAATCTCGGCAGCTGACCGCACTCGTACTTCAGGTGGGAATAGAGATTGTTCTTCCGGTTGAATGTGCTCGTACATTTCGGACAGGGGAATCTATGCTTGTTACGGGACTGGAGGTCCATGGTGGGTCTTGGCCTGACGTTGCACGGTATCTTGAACCCGCCCAGGTGTTTCAGATCTGCAAGAAAATGTTTCGAGCACGTCAGAGACCGCGGTCAGAGCCGCCCTTAAACGCATTAATAAATGTTCGAGGGACGGACGGTATTAGTGTTCTAGAGGAGAGGGGGAACAGAAACGATTTGGAACCATTTTTTTTTGGGCCGACGGTGTCTTTCGAGCGTTCTATTCCTCGCGTCGGGAAGGGCAACTTTTTATTTTGCTCTCTGTACAGGCGATTCGGCATGCAAACTCTGGTCTCAAAGACCACAGAATCTAATGCGAGTGTCGCGAGTATGAAATCCTTAAACCTCAGCGACTGGCTGCACTTCTGCGGATTGTTCTTCCTGTTAAAGATGCTGCTGCACTTCTGGCAGGGAAATATGGCGATCAACGTCGAAGAGGAACGGCTTGTCTGCAAGCAAAAGAAAGTTTCCGAATCCCAATGGAAAGACAGGAGATCAGAGAGTTCTTCTTTCGTTGCGTTTTACTTCCCACGAAGGGTGCCTGAAGACAAATCGAACGCACTCGTGCCCGGATGAACGAATAAAAATAACAAATTACGTTTTGGATAAACCTTTAATCGTAATATCGATACAATTGATCGTGAACCCTTTCGCAAATGCGAGTCCAGCTGGT